ATGTATTTTGGTAACGGTTTTTCGCAGAGCCCGGGGTGACGAACCCCTTTGTGGCCCGGGTTCACTCCCGGGAGGGGCGGGATCCCCACAATTCCCTTTACGGTTTTTACAATGGAATAAAAGGGAAAAGGTTGCGATACCCTAATCCCGACCTAAGGGTTAAAAACCATGGTTTCGGATACAAAAAAACTACAGGTAATCGGCAGCTGTGATTCAGGATTATTGATGTTTTGAAGCTTTGTTTTTTGTAAAATATAGAATTATTTATAAAATTTTGATTTTTTTAAATATTGGCCCCTTAAAATAAATACAGACTTCTTAAATATGTGTAGTAAGATACATATTAGAACGAGGTTTTGAATGTTTTTTTTTCAAAGGGTTTGGATTTTTATTTTTTTCCCTTGCCCCAAATAAAATGATTTTAATAACTAAAAAGAAAAATTCTTGTCTTCATTTCCCGACTGAAAAACCAACTAAAGTTCAGGGTTTTTTTTGTCCCCCTTTGGCTTTAGTTTGCTCCAACCCAGTGCATGCACATCTGTTTTACAGGTTGCTTATTGGTGCAACTTGTGGGATGTCCCCTTTTAGTCTATTCTACCATTTTTTGTTGGTTTTTCTTGTTTTCCCCACAATGAGGGCCCGGGAAAGACACAGGAAAAAAAAAAACAATCCCCACCAATTAAAGGAAAAAGAGTAAAGTTTTAAATTGAAACTTGTAAAAAAATTATATTTTAAATTTTTACTCTGTTTTGGGTTACCCCGGTGGTTCATTTTAGGTGCTTTATTAGCTCTCAGCAGGCAGAGAGAGAGGGAGCCACGTGGATATAAAACCCGATGCAGTGAAGTCGATCTCTCTCAACTTTAACCTTTATTGTTACTGTGGAGAGAGGGAAAGGTGTGCCAACATACCACTTTCCAAGGTTGTTTAGATTTACAGGACTGACAGTTATCTCCACAGTCTCTCTGAGCAGGAGTGGCCCCTACTTACATTCCAGCAGTATGAAACCAGCCAATTAACATCTCAATGCTTTTTTCATTAACTCGTCCCAGGTAGATTTAGAGTAGAAACCCAATTTGGCACAATAATCACAGTGAATAAGGCATCAGTAAGTGACTTTTAAAGATACAATCTTTACTGAACTGCATTTTATAGTTAGCCAGATTTCTTTTGCATACCCACACCAAACATGAAATAAATAATAACACTCAATGTGTTGCATTGATACACATAGTCATAAGGCATGTTGCTTTGAGCAACAAGAATAAATAAAAATGGAGACAAATCATCTGTTACATTTACACAGCAGTGTCACATGATGTGCTGGTGCAGTGGCCAGACATAGTGCCTGCTGGCCACATGCTCATGTATTCAAATCCCCATCAAGGTGGGAAAGTTTGTGTTTGTTTTTAAAGCAACCTTAACTACATTGAAAAGATAGGGAGGCCATGGAGTGAGCTACATACAATAGCAGAGGATAGGACAGCTTGGCATTAGCTGGTTGATGACCTATCTCTGTTGGTGGATACAAAGCGGAAGTAGGAAGAAGAAGATGAAGAAACCTTGATTCTATATGACCCAGTTAAGATGTATACCAGGAAATAATAGGAGAAGCAAAGGTGGCTTGCCGTTTATAACCTATCAAGTACCGATTGGACTGTAACAGTGTGGGGCTGAATACATACTTCTTCAGCATTCCAAGCCCTTGAGGTTTATTGCTGCTGAAATCAGCCATCTCCATCTCTCTCTCTGATTGGCCCTGTCTGTCCACTTGCTGACTCCAGGTGTTTTGTTGTTGTTGTTGTTTAGGTTAGACTGGATATTATCTTTCCACTAGCGCCTGCCTCATGGTCTGCAGTCATTAAACTCTATTGTGTACTACCTTTTTACCTCTCTATCGTCAGTCATTCTCTCTCTCTGTGCCTAGCCTTTCAGTTTATTAGCTCTCATGATGACATGATGCCAGTGATCAGTGGTGATTTAAACAGATTATGAATTATTTTGTAGCTTCTGAATCTACATTCCTGTTTGCATCTTTGATGGGTGCAAAGATTTATCCTAAGAATATTTTCAAAACTTTCTAAAAAGGTTTTCTTATGATAACTATTTTCCTTTGAAAAAGAAAATGTTAATTTCTGAAGTCTTTTCAAGGTCCAGAGAGATGGCCTGTGTGTAAGCTAACACTGTACACTTAATTTGTCTCAAGACAAAGATAATTGTTCTTGACTTATTTCAAAAACAATTGATTCTAGGTCACTGATCATATCATGGCTGGAATAGAGGACATCATTGGTGATCATGGGAGAAACCACTTGAGGGTAAGATCTTGTCTTGTTAAATTGTAGCCATTGTCTGATGCCTGTCTACAAACTGTGGGCTGTCTGTTCATTGTCTGATGCCTGTCTACAGTCTGTGTGCTGTCTGTTTATTGTCTGATGCCTGTCTACAAACTGTGTGCTGTCTGTTTATTGTCTGATGCCTGTCTACAGTCTGTGGGTCGTCTGTTCATTGTCTGATGCCTGTCTACAAAGTGTGTGCTGTCTGTTCATTGTCTGATGCCTGTCTACAGTCTGTGTGCTGTCTGTTCATTGTCTGATGCCTGTCTACAGTCTGTGTGCTGTCTGTTTATTGTCTGATGCCTGTCTACAAACTGTGGGCTGTCTGTTCATTGTCTGATGCCTGTCTGCAAACTGTGGGCTGTCTGTTCATTGTCTGATGCCTGTCTACAAACTGTGGGCTGTCTGTTCATTGTCTGATGCCTGTCTACAAACAATGTGCTGTCTGTTTATTGTCTGATGCCTGTCTACAAACTGTGGGCTGTCTGTTCATTGTCTGATCCCTGTCTACAAACTGTGGGCTGTCTGTTCATTGTTTGATACCTGTCTACAAACTGTGTGCTGTCTGTTCATTGTCTGATGCCTGTCTACAAACTGTGGGCCGTCTGTTCATTGTCTGATGCCTGCCTGCAAACTGTCGGCTGTCTGTTCATTGTCTGGTGCCTGTCTACAAACTGTGTGCTGTCTGTTCATTGTTTGATACCTGTCTACAAACTGTGGGCTGTCTGTTCATTGTCTGGTGCCTGTCTACAAACTGTGGGCTATCTGTTCATTGTCTGATGCCTGTCTACGAACTGTGTGCTGTCTGTTCATTGTCTGATGCCTGTCTACAAACTGTGGGTTGTCTGTTCATTGTCTGATGCCTGTCTACAAACTGTGTGCTGTCTGTTCATTGTCTGATGCCTGTCTACAAACTGTGTGTTGTCTGATTATTGTTTGATGCCTGTCTACAAACTGCGCTGTCTGTTCATTGTCTGATGCCTGTCTACAAACTGTGGGTTGTCTGATTATTGTTTGATGCCTGTCTACAAACTGCGCTGTCTGTTCATTGTCTGATGCCTGTCTACAAATTGTGGGCTGTCTGTTCATTGTCTGATGCCTGTCTACAAATTGTGGGCTGTCTGTTCATTGTTTGATGCCTGTCTACAAACTGCGCTGTCTGTTCATTGTCTGATGCCTGTCTACAAATTGTGGGCTGTCTGTTCATTGTCTGATGCCTGTCTACAAATTGTGGCTGTCTGTTCATTGTCTGATGCCTGTCTACATATTGTGGGCTGTCTGTTCATTGTCTGGTGTTTGTCTACAAATTGTGGGCTGTCTCTTCATTGTCTAGTGCCTGTTTACAAACTGTTCTATGAGTTCAATCTCTAATGCTAGTCTATAAACTATTGTGTCCGATCATGTGAACAGTAGCCTGTAATATTTGCCTATCAGCACTGCACCTCTTTTATCTGTCTTCCAGTTGCTATTACCAGCGTGCAAAAGTGACAGTTGTTTGTTCTCCAGTTTTTCATATAGGACAGGGAGGAACATTTCATTTGATTTTCACTGCCACAGGAATGGAGCAAGTATAGGGTGAGCCTATTGCAGTGAAGTTGAAACTTTGACTAAGACTAATGGGCCAAAGTACTCAACAAATATGACTTGATGGTCTGATTGTGCATCCATACTGTTCACTTGCTGCCAACGCGGGCCTTGACAACATCTAGCTTGTGATGTATCAGTTTATCGCTGACTGGGGCAGAACCTGCCTGCCCGTCTGTTTGCCTGTCCGTTATCTAGACTTCCTAACCCTAACCATCTTCTGAAAAACACAGTATATGTGGGCACGCCACAGGTGCTGTACGTCAGTGTTGAATGTTGACTATAGGGCTTTGTGTGTGCGTGCGCGTGCGTGCGTGTGTGTCTGTGTGTGTGTATATATATATATATATATATATATATATATATATATATATATATATATATATATATAGAGTGCTGTATGTCAGTGTTGAATGTTGAATATAGGGCTATGCATGAATGAATGTGTGTGTGTGTGTGTATATATAGTGCTGTACGTCGGTGTTGAATATAGTGCTGTGTGTGTGTGTATATATATATACATATACATATATATATAGTGCTGTACATCAGTGGTTAGTTAAAAATTCTGACATTTTTAAATGAAACCATGTTTTTTCTTTGTTGTACAAATTAGGTTGAATATTTGTGAAATCTACATCTGGACAGTATATTATATATTAGGATACTGCGTGCTCTCAGCATGGCGTCCACCTCAAGTGCTGGAGGTCCCGGGTTCAAGCCCTGGTGAAGACTGGGATTTTTTCACGTGTTCATTTAGTAATTTTCCCTGGTCTCTGGGTAGTAAGATTGGACGCCAGTGTGTATTGTTGCGCACATAGAACATCCCTTGGCAGTTAGAAGTTGAAAAAGAATAGCCTTACGTCACTGCCCGGGCAAAATTTGGAGTTGAAAATCTACCCAAAGTATTTCAGGATCCTTGCTAGTGCTATGAAGTTTGTGCACTGCGCTGAGATTCTTCGTACTCAGGCTTGACTTAGAAGTAGAATGGAGAACTTATGGGTTAAACGTTGTACCATAATGTTGGTCTGTTGTGCAAACATAAATATATACACATAAACATATTCTATCTACTTACACAGGAAAAGTTTAAACTGTTTGACGGCAAGCACTTGAAACCACTACTACAAGTGGCTCCAGAACCTAAAAATGTCCGCTTGATCGCCTATTTTGACAATTTGATTCTAAAGTAGGTCTGATGTGCTTTTATTACCACTTTCTGTCTCACACACTTTTTTTAAAATTTGTTTTCTTTGTTCAGGAATTGTAGTCAGTTGTTGGTAGTCGAAGTTTCTACTTCACTATCATTGCAATGTTCCTGTGTCACTGAAAATCGTACAAATTGTAATTTTCTGTGACATTTAAAGACTATTGAGCAAACAATTCACCCTGACAAAATCCAGAAGCATACACACAGAGTAAATGCATAAGGCAGCAGCTGGAGGTGCCCACACCCACAGTCCGCCACCAAAACTGCAATTAGTCATTGATGGAAGTAGTCACTTTTGACAAAGTGACTGTGCACAAGCAAAATAATTACATAATGTATATCGCCAGCATAAATGAAAACTAGCTACCTGCCATTTTCTGAATACCACATCACAAACTACCATAGGTATAGATAAAAGGCATTCCATGTGAAATACACTGCTCATAGTGTTGCACCAAGCAGTCATCTTTAGAATTGTTTTTAAAGTAATAATTGTCTGGATCTAAAAGGGTGTAAATAATAACAGTATGGTTCAGAACAAGTAACAGAAAAAATTCAGATATACTGATAATTTTGAATTAACAGTCGACATGACAGCACATGGGACATTCCCATAAGCGCTCCTCTCTTATCTTCAGCAGCATGCACAGAGTTTCAATGTCAATTGCACCAGTAGGATTTAATAAGATAATGTAACAACTGAGACTTAGGAATTGAGAATATTATTTTGTGCATTAATCTCCATTCAAGTCCCTTCCAGTGCTTCATTAAGGGGGAAAAGAATAGTGCCACTACTGCCCTAACAAACATGTCATATGAGTCGACTAAATAGGGGATTCATTCAGTGTCAATATTTATCTGCCTGAGAAGCAAGGAACCAACAGTCTGCATACAAATAAGCAGATCTGTAAGATGTATGTGATAAAAACAAGGCATGGAACAAGACTAAAACCAGAAGTGGATGAACAACCAGAACTTTCCACCAGAGTTTCCAGCCGGTAAACATGAAGAAGAAGATTTTGTGTATTAATAAAAGACAAATGAAATGTTGGGGTCATATCATTAGAAGAGGGGAAATAGTGAAAGTAATTTTATATGGGAAAATACAAGACAAGATCATCAGAGAATGATGGAAAAACATAAAGAACTGGTCACCAGATGAAAAGATAAACAAAAACAGCTTCACTGAAATAGATCGGTTTTGGTATAACAGAGATGACATCACAGCCAATAAGGTGACCCGGTTATTGATTAACAGAGATGACATCACAGCCAGTAAGGTGACCCAGTTATTGGTTAACAGAGATGACATCACAGCCAGTAAGGTGACCCAGTTATTGGTTAACAGAGATGACATCACAGCCAGTAAGGTGACCCAGTTATTGGTTAACAGAGATGACATCACAGCCAGTAAGGTGACCCAGTTATTGGTTAACAGAGAGGACATCACAGCCAGTAAGGTGACCCGGTTATTGGTTAACAGAGAGGACATCACAGCCAGTAAGGTGACCCAGTTATTGGTTAACAGAGATGACATCGCAGCCAGTGTGATTTATGTCACAGGCGTGAGGGGAAGTTAAGTCCAACATGATGTGTATAAGGAGATACTCCGTACGTCACTCGGGCGCCAGTCCTTCACTATCCTGGTTGTACGGAACCTCACGCAAGACCCCTACAGCACGTCCTCGTCGTGCGCCACGGATAATGTCTCAAATGAGCATTAACAGAGCTGTCAGGGGATCTCGGAGTTTGGCGGCCCCCAGAGGTGATGTGTCCTTGTGGCTCTCATCAGCCCGCCCCCAAACGCTTGGGTGAAAAATGTTATCAAAAAATCTCATTAGGAACATGAGTAGGGTTGACAAACATACAGCTAAAATTACAACCCTTGGTTAAAAGACTGCTGAGTAAAGAGATCATTGCTCACTGCACATCCTCTGTTAATTCTCAGTGTCGTCGTCACCGCACTGAGGTACAACCACAACAGCAACCATCCATAGGCTGGCCATCCTTGTACATCCTCGGTTGGCCCTCAGTGTCGTCGTCACCGCGCTGAGGTGCACCACAACAACAACCATCCATAGGCTGGCCATTCACGTACATCCTCGGTTAACCCTCAGTGTCGTCGTCACCGAGCTGGGGTACACCACAACAGCAACCATCCATCGGATGGCTAAGCCTAAATGTCTGACAAAACTAGATCATACGGATCAAAATCTGACCATCAAAATTTGCACTGAACTGAAAAAGACCGAATATCCACACCCAAAGACCCCACTCGCCCGAGTGTTGGGACAAAACTGATAACGATACGCCTGATTCAGGATGTGAAATTCTGTCAGGCTAATGTACCTATCTGTGTGGTCACAAAAGTCCAAAACCCACGGGCTGCTCCCCGCTGACTTCCAGAGGGCGCAGCCCCTGTCGGGTGGGAGGACAGATACGGTTGTGAGGTTAAGCAGACATGTGCAGAACGTGACGATTCCTTGGGTGAGCCCAGAATCAGAGCAATATGTGCCGGCTCTGCATGCATGGAAGCCTCCTTGGATGGCGGGGAATGCCCATGATCTGCCCCTGCCTTCCCTTGAGGGCCAACTGTTCCACAGGGGGCTGCCCCAAAGGAGTACTCTGGGGGCAATACCTGCGGCGAAGGAGACAAAATGGACACCACACAAATTAGGCAACGTCTCGACCCACACAAAACAATGGCCACAGTCACCCTAGAAATAGGCCTGACGTCCTCCTTCGAAGTCGGCGTACAGCTGCCCAAGAGGCAAGGAAATGAAAAACGGTTGTACACGCAAAAATCAGGTCCAGGTGAAAGCCAAAAGTCCAAGCGGACGATTAACCGGGACCTTCCACTGGAATTCACAGCCGGTGTTCGATAATAATAATAATAATAATACATCGCAGCCAGTAAGGTGACCCAGTTATTGGTTAACAGAGATGACATCACAGCCAGTAAGGTGACCCAGTTATTGGTTAACAGAGATGACATCACAGCCAGTAAGGTGACCCGGTTATTGGTTAACAGAGATGACATCACAGCCAGTAAGGTGACCCAGTTATTGGTTAACAGAGATGACATCACAGCCAGTAAGGTGACCTGGTTATTATTCTCTTGAACGGAGAAGAAACCATGATCACCAGTAGAGTCATGATCACCCATCGAGTCACTATCACCAGTAGTACCTGGATCACCAGTAGTGCTATGATCACCAATAGAGCCATGGTCACCAGTAGTACCATGATCACCAGTAGAGTCATGATACCAAAATAGTCATGTTCACCAATAGCCATAATCACAAACAGTGTCATTATTGTACCATAAAGTCATGATTACCGATTGTACTATGATCACCAATAGAGCCATGATCACCAGTAGTACCAGGATCACCAATAGTGGCATGATCACCAGTAGTGCCAGGATCACCAATAGAGCCATGATCACCAATAGTGGCATGATCACCAGTAGTGCCAGGATCACCAATAGAGCCATGATCACCAATAGTGGCATGATCACCAGTAGTGCCATGATCACCAGTAGTGCCAGGATCACCAATAGAGCCATGATCACCAATAGTGGCATGATCACCAGTAGTGCTAGGATCACCAATAGAGCCATGATCACCAATAGTGGCATGATCACCAGTAGTGCCAGGATCACCAGTAGTGCCAGGATCACCTATAGAGCCATAATCACCAATAGTGGCATGATCACCAGTAGTACCAGGATCACCAATAGAGCCATGATCACCAGTAGTGCCAGGATCACCAATAGAGCCATGATCACCAATAGTGGCATGATCACCAGTAGTGCCAGTATCACCTGCAGAGCCATGATCACCAGTAGTGCCAGGACCACCAATAGAGCCATGATCGCCAGGATCACCAGCAGAGTAATGATCACCAGTAGTACCATGATCACCAGTAGTGCAGTGATCACCAGTAGTGCTAGGTTCACCAATAGATCCATGACCACCAGTAGTGCTATGACCACCAATAGTCATTATCGCCTGTAGTGCAATGATCAACAGTAGAGCAGTGGAGCCATATTCAATCATCAGAAGTGCTGTGATCACCAGTAGTACCATGATCAGCAGTAGAGTCATGATCACCAATAGTTCCATGATCACTAGTAGTGCCTTGATCACCAATAGGAGTGATAACCCATAGTTCTATGATCAGCAGTAGAGCCATGAACACTAAAAGAATCATATTCACCAACAGAACCATAATCACCAATAGAGCCTTGAACACCAATAGAGCCTTGAACACCAATAGAGACATCATCACCAGTAGAGCCATGATAATCAGTAGAGCCATAATAAGCAGTAGAGCCATCATCACCAGTAGAATCATGATCCAAATAGAGCCATGATCACCAACAGAGCCATGAAGCCATGATCACCAATAGAGCCATGAAGCCATGATCACCAATTTAGCTGTGAAGCAGTGATCACCAATAAGGCCATGATTACCCCAAGTGTCATGAACTCCAATAGAGCCATGTTTAACACTGTCAGCTCTGTATCAGGCACCCAAAGAGAAGAAAGAAGGACACATACTGTGTAGTTTTGCTAAGTCTTCCATCATAAACCTGAATCACTATGGGCATAAAAAGTGTTCTTGGCTTTATTTTAGTAACTCAACATAAAACTTTATCACACTCATACGTGACATATCTTCTCCACAGGGAACATTACCGACATCTGAAGCTGAGTGGAGCTAAGACACCAGATGCACCAAAGATGTTTGTTATATTTGTTTACTGCACACACCACACTATCACATATGTTAAATTTGCTTACTGCACACACTATACTATCAGATATTTTTGTGTGTGTGTTTACTGCACACACTCTACTATCACATATGTTAAATTTGTTTACTGCATATACTCTTCTATCAGATATGTTATTTTTGTTTACTGTGCACACTTTGCTATCAGATATGTTATATTTGTTTACTGCACACTCTACTGTTACATTTGTTAGATTTGTTTTCCGCACACACTATACTGTCAGATATGTTATATTTGTTTACTGCATACACATTGCTGTCAATTATGTTATATTTGTTTACTGTAGACTGCTAGTGGATTTTGGCGATATGTTTTACTCATCATTTTAATTATTATTTGCCAAACTTATATGTTTATTTGATTATGATTCCTGATTTAAAAACATCCCCATCATCTCCCCATATAAAAAGAACCTAGAATGACATCATCAAGAGATGGAGAGGACTCAACTACTATACACATGTTACACCAGCAGAAGACAGAGAAAGATGGCGGGTTTTGTGTGCTAGTGCTTTCATCCATACACCTCCACGACCCTAAAGGGTCAAGGGTTATATTATGTTATAAATTAGTATATTCTGCATTTGTTTACTGTTTTTGTTTCCTCATATTGTTCACTTTAGTATTGTTCCAGAAATTGAGTTTTGCAGTCACGTCCAGTTGACAGATCTGACTTATTTATATGCAGACTGTTGAGTCCTTGTCTCTTAGGCAGATGCATTCTGACTTTTAAAAAAACACCCTAATTAATCAACTTTAATGACATGGTTATTTCGGGGGCAGTGGGTGTATATATAACCTGACGCTGAAAGGCAGAACAGGACTGGAGAAAAAGAAAAAAAAAGTGGGTCGATTACCACCCCCCACCCCCCCCACCCACCCACTCCCTTCCCCACAGTGGATCCTTGGAACCCACACTTCCTGTATGGGTTATGGGGCCCTATTGTGGAAGAAGGGGGCAGCAAGAATAGACCCCTGCCTACCCAGAAAGGCATATCGTAAGAGTGGACTAATTGAGAGTTTCTTTTGTTCAGAGTGCCTCTGCCCAAGTGGCAGGGAACAACCTACTGCACACACAAAAAAATCCAGTAAAATGGATGTACATGCAGAGCTCAGGCCCTCAGATAAAGCCATTGTCCAAATGGACAAATAACCAGGACGACTTTCTGCGGAATAAAGGACGGGACCCGCACATGGAATATGTCTGCTCAGAAAGGCTTATAAACTGAGCAAGAAATTAATCCAGTGAACTGTGTCTTGTCTTGTCTTGTCTTGTCTTGTCCACAATTGCCTCCCAGCGTAGTGGGGAGTCGCAGTTTTCTATCCTGGGCCAGGTGTGTTGCACGTGTTGTTGTTAGTCCGTGTTGCCTCAGGATCTCTGATATATTGTCTATCCATCGTACTCTCGGTCTGCCTCTTGCTCTAGGGCAGTAGTGCTGTTCGTTGTATGCTCGTAGAGGCAGTTGGTCGGTTTGCATTCGCATCAAGTGGCCAAACCACTCTATTTGTTGCTTCTTTATGTATTGCAGGCATGGTGTGGTTCCTACAATTGCTGTGAACTGTGACTAAAAGCTTAACGAAATGGCGAAGCAGAATAATGTGCACAAAGCACACTAATGAATGTTTCAGCTGGAGCCTTTCTCAGCATGAACTAACTACACAACAATAAGTAGGGGAGAGTACTCCCACCACCAGCGCCCACCAGGGGCTCATGTAAGAGACTATAAAAGCGTGATGTGGAATGAATAAAATAAAATAAAGGAAGGCACGAAAAATAGTCATAAAAGTAATTAGTTAGTTAGTTAGTTATTCCTCTTGTGCCAAAGATGGCGCATAGGGCAGAGGTCATAGCTTTCCACGTCTGTCGGTTCTTTGCCACTTGATGTAGGTCTTGAGTGCGACTGAGACCTATGGTTGAGCTCTCCCTTGTGATGGTTCTACGGAGAGTTTCTTTTGGTCTTCCCTGTTTTCTTTTACCCTCTGGTGACCATATGAAGGCTTGGTGGGGAAGTCTCTGTATGTCCATTCTGAGTACGTGACCGATGTAATTCCAGCGACGCTTTCTAATAAAATCAGACACATATTTTATAAAAGTAATAGTGACAATATATAATAATAGAAGGAATAAAAGAGTAGTTAGTTGCGTATTCTTTACAGGACGTTGCAGAACCAACCCTAACAGCCCCTGGCTGTTGTGTGGTTTCTCTTGGCAAATTTACGTCCAGTAGTTTGCCATTGCTTTCTGGACGGTCGGCTTTCTTGATACCACTGTCGAAACCAACGCAAGGTGCATTGCCCGCAACTGGGATCGAACCCAGCATCCCGGCCTTACGAGGCGAAGCATTCGCATCGACTTAGCAGAACGATGCAGAACCAACCCTAACAGCCCCTGGCTGTTGTGTGGTTTTTCTAGGCAATTTTACGTCCAGTAGTTCGCCATTGCTTTCTGGATGGTCGGCTTACTTAATACTACTGTCGAAACCAACGCAAGGCGCATGGCCCGCAGCTGGGATCAAACCCGGCATCCCGAAAAGAGTAGTAGAAACACAAATATTAATGATCCAAAAATGGTAATGATAAGAGATACAATAAAATTATAATATGAAATAAAATAAAATTCAAACATAAAAAAAAAATTAAATAAACAATAATGTGACAAAAAGGTAAAACAGTTTTGATATAGGTATGTTGAACATTGACACCTTATAAAAGAAGCACTTTGTTGGCAGGCCTCATGTGAACACAGAGCTTCTGTTGTCAACTCTAGTGGGTGCCCACCCATATGTGAAAAAGTTACCCATCCTTGAGAGGGAAGAGGTGGAACCCTCATACAAAACTGATGTCGGCCCCATTACCAGATCTGCTGACGCAGATATTCCTGCCATCACATTTGACATGGACACTGAAGGTAAGGCTGTGTTTGATGTGTTTCTCTTCTTTTTGTTGTCTATCCTATGGTTTCTGAACTTCATTCAGTAACAGGTAGTAATACTATTTTTCAGCTGTAGTCTGATACCAATAAAATTATTCTTGATCTGACTTTGGTGGATGTAATAACAGAAGATCAAATGGTTTGGTCATTTAGTAAGAATGCAGCCAGAACAGCTACCAACACAGGCGCTACACATGAAAAGATCTGAATTGAGAGCAAGAGGCCGCCCCAGGAGAAGATGGATTGATGACATTAAAGATGTTCTACATCGACATAGAATGACAGTAGCCAATGCTACCCGTCAAACAATGGATAGCTAATTGTTCCAACCCACAATACTAAACAGCAGAAGTGAAAATTGATGGCGATGATGATGATGAATTTCCCGAGTGTTATGCTTAGAACTGGCATCGCAGCATTCCTGACATTCCCATAAGTGTTCCATCCTCATTTGCAGCAGCTAGCAAAGAGTTCCAGTTCTGATGATGCCAGCAATTGTTTGATTACATGTCTGGCATTTTCTCTGAGTGCAAGGTGTCAACCTGTTCTCCTGTTCACTTCCAGCTGTATCAGTCTCTCCAGACCAGAATGATTTATTCTTGCCCCCGCATAGTTCACTTGCTGCCAGAGGGACTTGATCACAGTTAGCTTGTTGTACATAAATTCACCACACATTGGTGCAGAAGCAGCCACTCTGTGTGCCTGTTTATTTCCCAACACACCTGCCTGCCCTGGAGAAAATATCCAAAGAACGCTAACTACCTGGGATCTCTGAACCTATGCTTGCCACTCTGCACAGAGTAAAATAAATGCTTGCTTAATAAATAGATTACATGTATTCCTCCTAATAGAACACTTGTTTAAGGAATGGATAACACTTATTTAAGGAATGGATAACACTTATTTAAGGAATGGATAACACTTATTTGAGGAATGGATAACATTTATTTAAGGAATGGATAACACTTATTTAAGGAATGGATAACACTTATTTAAGGAATGGATAACACTTATTTAGGGAATGGATAACACTTATTTAAGGAATGGATAACACTTATTTAAGGAATGGATAACACTTAAGGAATGGATAACACTTATTTAAGGAATGGATAACACTTATTTAAGGAATGGATAACACTTATTTAAGGAATGGATAACACCTATTTAAGGAATGGATAACACTTTTTTAAGGAATGGATAACACTTATTTAAGGAATGGATAACACTTTTTTCCCTCCATGTGTTTGTTTAATGAATAGATTACACATGCATCCCCTGATATTTTTTAAACAAATTGATTACACATGTAGCCCTCGATATGTATGGTTTTGTTTTTTAACCAGTAGATTTTACACGTAGCAGCGGAATGTATGGTTTTGTTTTTTAACAAGTAGATTTCACACGTAGCAGCGGAATGTATGGTTTTGTTTTTTAACAAGTAGATTTCACACGTAGCAGCGGTATGTATGGTTTTGTTTTTTAATAAGTAGATTTCACACGTAGCAGCGGAATGTATGGTTTTGTTTTTTAACAAGTAGATTTCACACGTAGCAGCGGAATGTATGGTTTTGTTTTTTAATAAGTAGATTTCGCACGTAGTAGCGGAATGTATGGTTTTGTTTTTTAATAAGTAGATTTCACACGTAGCAGCGGAATGTATGGTTTTGTTTTTTAATAAGTAGATTTCACACGTAGTAGCGGAATGTATGGTTTTGTTTTTTAATAAGTAGATTTCACACGTAGCAGCGGAATGTATGGTTTTGTTTTTTAACCAGTAGATTTCACACGTAGCAGCGGAATGTATGGTTTTGTTTTTTAACCAGTAGATTTCACACGTGGCAGCGGAATGTATGGTTTTGTTTTTTAACCAGTAGATTTCACACGTAGCAGCGGAATGTATGGTTTTGTTTTTTAACCAGTAGATTTCACACGTAGTAGCGGAATGTATGGTTTTGTTTTTTAAAGATTAGGTTACACATGTAGTCATTGAGCACTCGTAATAAAAGTGATCAGACTCGTAATAAAAGTGATCAGACTCGTAATAAAAGTGATCAGACTTGTAATAAAAGTGAGCAGATTTGTGATAAAAGTTAGCAGATTTGTGATAAAATGTCCAGCAGGGACTGCCAATATGCCAACCAGGTGTTTTTTCTGTTGATGGTCAACAGGTGTCTTGTTACGTGGAACTCGCAGCAAGTCGCTGGATTATGGAGTTGATATTGATGCCAAGGGTCTCCGCAGTTTGCTTCGGTCTCAGAGGAATAGCAGGATGGTAGGTGTCTTGTGCTACATGTTTGAAATATTTTTTTCTTTTTTGTTTCTTATGTTCGCTTCTTTCTTTCTTTAATAATTAAATATTACTTTCGACTTTCTATGTTCTTTCTTTGTATTTTTAACACAATACGAGTTGCTAATTTGAAATCCAATTGGACATGACAGCTAGAATGGTACTTGTTTTAGTTATGTTCACCATTATATAAATTCATATCTCTCTCTCTCTCTCTCTCTCTCTGGGTGGGTGTGTGTGTGTGTGAGAGAGAGAGAGAGAGATGATCACACACAGATGATCCTGCATGCCGTGTGGCGTTGATGGTCACGTCTATCCACAGCCTCACATACTTTCAGTCAGCTCTGACACAGATGATCCTGCATGCCGTGTGGCGTTGATGGTCACGTCTATCCACAGCCTCACATACTTTCAGTCAGCTCTGACACAGATGATCCTGCATGGCATGATGTCAGACTGTCCAGCATCTTTTCTCTTGGTCTTCCTCTGCCTCTCCTCCCTTTCAACTTTCCTACTACAACTGGTTTTGCGTGGTCTCAAGGCATAGTGTTCGCCTCAAGTGCTAGAGGTTCAGGGTTCAATCCCCGGTAAGGGCTGGGATTTTCCACGTGGACTTGGACTAGTAAATCCCCCTGGTCTCTGGGTTGTGAGATTGGACGCCCATGTACATTGTTGTGCATGTAAAAAAATCCCTTGGCAGCTGAAAATCGAAAAAAGTAGCCTAATGATGCTGCCCTGGCAAAATTTGGAGTTAAATAAAAGTATTTCAGGATCCTCGCCGGTGCTACAGAGCCTGTGCACTGTGCTGAGCTTCTTCGGACTCAGACTTGAGTTAAAAGAAGAACGGAACACTTATGGGTTACTACCCGTGTTCTATGATGATGATCCGTTGTTCAAACTTCAAACTTTCCTTCTGTCACGGTGTACTCAAGTTTTCTTCTTCTCATCACATGAGCGTAAATAAATCAAAGGTTAAGTCACAACAAGAAGAAGAAAATATATATGTGGTAGTCTTTTTGTTGGTTGTTGGCGGGGTTGCTGGCTAAATAGCTAAAATGCTTTACTCTCATTCGGGAAGACCCAGATTTGAATTCTCAGTAAGATTATGGAACATTTTTCTGTCTGGAGCAAAAATAAAATTCCTGTCCTATATTGGTCTGGGTGACTGATCTAGCCATGTGACCGAAAATCTCAGATTTAAAGACTCATTTGTCCTACCTACAGTGTCTAAAACAAATGGTAAGATATCAAACAACAAGTGAACGTTGTGGCCAGAGTCTTCATCAGCACATAATGTAACTATACATTACCACAAATAGGAGCAAGAAATACACAAAATGAGTTGAAATAGTAATTTTAAAAGAAGTAAAATTGAGTACAGATAAGTTAGACAAGCACAGACAAAAAGTAGCACTTTTGGGAGAGCAGGACCCATGAAAGAGGTAGAATTAGTCAACTGCAGTGAAGCTATAAAAATATCATTGAAAGATATTAAACCAGACAACAATAGAACCAGTGGATTTCATTACAAACACAAACGACAAGTAAGTGTAGTCTTGATCAGCAGATTACATAAATATAACGCAACAAATAAACAAAAAACACACACAAAATTGGTAGGTAAAGAGAGTAAAAATGATCTGTTTATTGTTAATATTTCACTTTGTTTCCCTGTCTTTGCCAGATTGTCTCCAAATATGATAAAAACCTGACAAATGTGGATGACATGCAGACAGAAATTCACAAAAAGACACACCAGAACAAGAGGCTGGAACGTCTCCTTTCCCATGACCGTGACCAGAATCTTGACAGAAGAAATTCCTGGTCAGAAGAAAAAGCGCAGCTCTGCGAAGAACGTTCCCACCAAGGATCAAAAGCTACTCCACGTCATGCAGTAACTGTCGACTTCGTGAACTCAGGCCGGATGGGCACATTTGATCCGCTCGGTGATAAGGATAAGTCCTCAGTCATGTCTACCTTTTCTATAGGCTCTCCTCTAGGTTCTGTCTGTGAAGATGATGAGGCAGAAGCGGTTGAGTCTCAGCCCATGCTAGATGAAGATGATGCTGTCTTCAGGAAGGGGTCTGCCAGGTCACATAAAAGTCGGTTAGAACGCCAGATGGGGCTGGATAGATCCGGAACTGGACAGTCAGGGCAGGGTGATCCTAGCCAGTCCTTGGACAGCATGGGACCCAGACAAGATGATAACTTGATGTCTAGCAGTCTGTAAACATGAAGAAGGAACAACAAATGATCTGGGGAAAGCAGCTGAAAAACATAGATAACATGGTTGAAGCAGCTGATAAACATAGATGATAACATGTTTGAGGCCGCTGATAAACATAGATGATAACATGGTTGAAGCAGCTGTTAAACATAGATGATAACATGGTTGAAGCAGCTGATAAAGATCGATGATAACATATTTGAAGCAGCTGTTAAACATAGATGATAACATGGTTGAAGCAGCTGATAAAGATAGATGATAACATGGTTGAAGCAGCTGTTAAACATAGATGATAACATGGTTGAAGCAGCTGTTAAACATAGATGATAACATGGTTGAAGCAGCTGATAAAGATCGATGATAACATATTTGAAGCAGCTGTTAAACATAGATGATAACATGGTTGAAGCAGCTGTTAAACATAGATGATAACATGGTTGAAGCAGCTGTTAAACATAGATGATAACATGGTTGAAGCAGCTGATAAAGATCGATGATAACATATTTGAAGCAGCTGTTAAACATAGATGATAACATGGTTGAAGCAGCTGTTAAACATAGATGATAACATGGTTGAAGCAGCTGTTAAACATAGATGATAACATGGTTGAAGCAGCTGTTAAACATAGATGATAACATGGTTGAAGCAGCTGTTAAACATAGATCATAACATGGTTGAAGCAGCTGTTAAACATAGATGATTACATAGTTGAAGCAGCTGTTTAACATAGATGATAACATGGTTGAAGCAGCTGTTAAACATAGATGATAACATGGTTGAAGCAGCTGTTAAACATAGATGATAACATGGTTGAAGCAGCTGTTAAACATAGATGATAACATGGTTGAAGCAGCTGATAAAGATCGATGGTAACATATTTGAAGCAGCTGTTAAACATAGATGATAACATGGTTGAAGCAGCTGATATACATAGATGATAACATGGTTTAAGCAGGCATAAACTAGATGATAACATGGTAAGCGCATAGATAGATAAACATGGTTGAAGCAGCTGATAAACATAGATGATAACATGGTTGAAGCAGCTGATAAAGATAGATGATAACATGGTTGAAGCAGCTGATAAAGATAGATGATAACATGGTTGAAGCAGCTGTTAAACATAGATGATAACATGGTTGAAGCAGCTGTTAAACATAGATGATAACATGGTTGAAGCAGCTGTTAAACATAGATGATAACATGGTTGAAGCAGCTGTTAAACATAGATGATAACATGTTTGAAGCAGCTGTTAAACATAGATGATAACATGGTTGAAGCAGCTGTTAAACATAGATGATAACATGGTTGAAGCAGCTGTTAAACATAGATGATAACATGGTTGAAGCAGCTGTTAAACATAGATGATAACATGGTTGAAGCAGCTGTTAAACATAGATGATAACATGGTTGAAGCAGCTGATAAACATAGATGAACATGGTTGAAGCAGCTGTTAAAACATAGATGATAACATAGTGGAAGCAGCTGTTAAACATAGATGATAACATGGTTGAAGCAGCTGTTAAACATAGGAATTTGATAACATGGTTGAAGCAGCTGTTAAACATAGATGATAACATAGTTGAAGCAGCTGTTAAACATAGATGATAACATGGTTGAAGCAGCT